TAATATATGAGACCATTAATCAAAGGACTATACGAATACTGGGTTTACAAAAATAAAAAACCAATTGAGAAGGTTAAGGTGGAAATAAGGATTAACAATAATAGGTTGCGTTTCTTTAGTTGGGCTCACCAATGTAGAACCATGGTCTACTATGATATTAGTACTGCTCTAATAATAGACCTAATCCTAAAATTGTAGATTTGTCATTGTATAACTGCCTGATCTATAAGATCTTACGTGGAAGTCACACCATCGACTACACCAACTGATTGTATCGTATCAATTACCAATACATGATGTAGAACAAGGTTAGGCCAGAGAAGAAACAATATATTTAATATGAGTAGAAGATATAAGGTAGCATTCAGAGGGACCACGCCTGCATGGCCGAGCCATGCCATCCGATCAACTCAGTCCATTCAATTCTTTCTTCGCGCCTTCTCCATCGTTCGGTATTTATCCGTGTTAAATATTGAATATCTATTTTCTGAGTAGTCTCGTGTTCAGCTTTGTGGATTGTGCGGTTATTGTTCAATGCCACTACAGATCTCATGTGTTAATAACACATATCAATGCAGACTTATCTGTTTTAGTGGCCCGTTGATCTGACTCCTATTTAGATCGTATGGATGTTTGCTATCACCGATTCTCGTATATCATCGTCGACTTTGCTTCTAATTATCACACACTTCCACACTAGACGACAAATCCTGAATTGTTGAACAACTGATCGAATTTAGTCATGGTAAATGACACCTTGAAGTGACAGTTCAGGCTAGGTAATGGCCGCAAGATGTGACCTCACGTAAACTAGGATGTCACGCCGTTGCTATCAAACTCCAGTATGTCCGAACCATCCACACGGGTTCCCTACATTGATGATCAGGAACTTTTTTCAGTAATACAGCAATCAGGCTTCCTATGATTTTGAAAATGAAACCGATGACCGAGAACGCAGTGTTAACCACAGATTGCTAACGGAAATTATCACATTGTTATGCCTATGTCATTTCCAAGGATAAGGAGTGTAATACTAAGATTCTCAACAGCTATCTAACGTTGATACTATTAACAGCCAAGATATTTCAGACGTACTCAACTACCCTGACTTAGCAGCCATTATTCCATCGTGGTTGATAGTGATTGTTACACTGAAAGAAGAAGAATGATGACTTCAGAAATATGGTGAGTAATAAATACATTTACTGTACAGTTAAATATTGTGTGTTGTTTCTCAGCATATCATAGTAATACAGTGTAATCTGTAGCTTCGTAATTCTACGTTGAGTTCTTGGTTGAATCTTGTTGAAGTTCTAGACTTATTGTAATTAGTTCAGTTTCGTTATTTTATTTCAAATTCACTAGCATCACTACAAACTTTACTCATACCCATTAGCAATAAACATCCCTTGTTGTTTGGGCGCCGTATTTTAATGTTATGGAGATTTATTCTATCATATATGGCGTTTTCGGTCATGTAGTCTTTCAAATGAAAAGTATTCTAGTTCACGTTGTCACTGTAAAATTGTCAAATATATGTTTCAACAACTTTATCCATCTTCGCCAGTCTCGAGCTACTGAAACCGATTCACCATGTAGAAATTTTGTTGCGTTACGATTACGAATAGGAAAATGCCCTCTACACATGTGGAGTCGAGCTAATAATCTTAAAAGGTGCACGAAAATGGGTTGTTGGATGGGAGTCTCATGACTCTCAGATCATCAAAGAACCTGCAGGATTATGGTATATTTCGGTATTAGTACTACGTTAATAATAGACCTAATCCTAACATTGTAGATTTGTCATCATGTAATTGATTAATCTATAAGATCTAACGTGAAAGTCACGTCACTGCCTACACCAACTCATCGCATCGTAATAAACAATATATGATGAAGAACACACTTAGACTAGAGATAGAGCAATATGTTTATTATGGATAAAGGATTATGTTACCACAATCAAGAGTGACCACGCCTGCAATACCGAGCCACGCAGTCTGACCAATTCGAATTAACTGAATATATATTTTCCAGTTTTCCCGTGTTCAGCTTTGAGGATTGTGTGGTTAGGGATCAATGCCTCTACAAACTCTTCAAAATAAAGAAAGATAGCAGCGAACGTTATCCAGTGAAACACATACATTAACAACTGTAATGAAAATGATTCACATCAGTTTCTTGATAGACTGCAGTCCTCTAAATTCAATTTCCGTAAAAGTCAATGACAATGGTTCACCCCCACCCGGTTAGATTAAAATCCTGGGCAGAACACTGACAGTTTGACTTCCGTTCATCTTTTAGTATTTCCTCTTTTTGAGCAATCTGAATTGGAGATTGATACTATTGTTTCGGCTCACAAGTAGGCCAACAAATCTACATCTAATTCTTGGAAAGTTCAGTATAATCTTAAAGGAAGGCTTCAAGGACCTATCTGAGTAATGTATCAGTTTACCAGCCAGGGTCTGAGGACTGGGTGCAGTTTCATGTAACCGGTATTGATCGATTCTAAAAAAGAGGCCACAAATATACAATTACTTGCCGGAAAATTTCGTGACTTGTCCTTGAAAAAAACGGCTGTCTTCTTATAGACTTTTGATGTGGACTTGCTGAAAATGTGGAGAGGCGAGGAATATTAGCGCTAGACGCAGGGTGGCCTAATAGTGGGCTGAACAGCTTTGACAAAGAGAACGAAGTTAAAAAACAAGCTTCCTGACATTCTTAGAATTCAAGTTAAGGACTTTCGAACCGAAAGCTACATTCACAATGCATCAGCATCATTCCACTCTTCGTAATATGTTTTACTATCACCTATGAAAATAAAAGAGATATTTTCAATGATATTCATCGTCTTTTACGAATTTCTATCCTTCCGTTTCACATTAGTCAATCGTGGAATTTAAACGGCACTTTTTATATCCTTCCCAGTATGTCATGGGGTGAGACGTTTGGTGTTGAAGTTTTATTTACATGAAAAAGGCTTGGGGCACTGTACTTTTACTGTGACATGAAACTAAAGGTCTATTTCCAACAGGTTAGAAGCTATATTACACATTGTTAGAACGGATGCCAGGGGGCGATATTATATATTCCAAATCTGATTTTTATCGCGAATGTTTTCTTTCGAAAACTTATGAACAGTAATGTGGCACAAAATAAAATTATGCAGGAGTAAATATCAGTTCAAGTGATTGACTTTAGGCCTACCAGTTATTATGTAAAGTTTCAAACAGAATGGTTATAATTCGGGTAGGCTTGAAATTTCAGACAATTATTTACAACTGCTGATTGTCTGGTCTGTAAATAGAAGCTGACTAGGGATGAAGAAGCCGCTGGATCTTTATTCAGAGCAAAATATCATGTGATGTGCTGAAGAACAGACATTAATATGGGATAGGTTCAATCATGAGTTTAGACACTAAATATGTGAGTGATGATATGAATTTTTTAGTACATTGATAGAACTATCAAAGGTGTCACATACATTCAGCGCTTAACAATGCTGCCGCTAACAGCACCCTTAAAATCTAGAGTCCCGAACATAATCAAACCAGAAGTCGAGAATGAAAGGGTTTGAAGATATATTTTTTAAAAACAGTTAAGTTATCCGTTAGTCTGTGATTTCAAGTGACTAGATGTTGTGTAATGAAGAAGGAAATCAGGTGGAGAATGTCAAGTTGTTTTCTGAAACAGAATTAGAGTGCCTTAGTAGAGTATGAAGACCATACATTAAATTTATCATTTGCGCATCTTCCATCAATTGTCTCTTACAAACTTCATCTTTCTGTCATTCCTGTTGATGTTTCGATTGCTTTCCGTTTTCTCCTCTCTCCTCTTCAGTTCGATGTCCTCAATTTTCTGATCAGCGTTACGTACTGCTTTTATCTGTCAACATAAGTAACATACACTACAGTGGCACGGGACAGTTATCAATGCCTATCAATGGTGATCCAGTATAGATGCTTGACCAAGCGCTTTTGGCTGGGGTTTGTCTGGCAAAAAACGAGGTCAGCACCAATTTTGAAGACTTATTTGACGTGTCCGTAAGATGGCACCCTGAAAGATAAACTAGGATGAAGACAGTATACCTGAGCGTAGATAAATGTAGTGAGGCATGAGGCTTCTGTATTGATGGAGGAGTGGATGAGCCTGGAGTTGTGTTGTGCAGCGATATGACCACTATGCCTGAACGAGGGCCTCAATCCGACAGTGTCCTTGGAAACTAGCAGTGCCAGAATTAGAGTCGAATGACTTTTCGGCTCTCTTCGGGAGAATCACTAATTGTCACAGGTTTTTATGGTGAAAAGGTGAGAGAAATTTGCGGAATACCGACTATTACTCATATTTTCTTAGTTAAGTAAATCATATATCTGATGAATATCGGATTATTTAGTTATTTTCTGTACACGTCCAGGATAACTAGGATAAGACCCTTAGGTTTATTATCGATCAAACCTCATGAACAGGACCAAAGTCCTGATTTTTTACTCAGAGCTGGTGTTATTTAAACCCGTGGATTTTGTGTGGACAACAATCGTAAGTTATAAAGAAATAGTGACAAAGTTTGAGGAACTAAGACGATTGTTATCCCGAGATCACGGATTCATTAAACTCGTCATCATGGTGTAAATGACATACAAAGTGCCTACGAACATAGAACAAACTCCTATTATTTATTAGTTATATCATAACATAAAGGACACCCAATCATTTCAATATCTGACGTTTGGACTATTAGTTCACAGTGTTACTTTTTCCACTGAATAATCAACTTTTGTGGCATACAGCCGAAGAAATGGTTTTAGTGGGATCAAGACCGACTTTTATCAAAGAAAGTGAACGAGATGGAAATATCCCGAAGGAACGCTGCATTGGGTTTTTGAACCTTCAGCTAACAGACTCAAAATTTGAATATAAAAAATAGTTGTGAATAATGGGACTAATTTCCTGATCTTATTATGAAGATAAGATAGTTACATTATTTTACTAAACACACGGTGGTTTGGTTGGTTGTCTGATCAACACGGTACTTTCCCGAGGGGTATTCAATTTTCTGGGATGATTCAGTTGGAGGTCTGCATACCGGTAGAGGTGGAAGGCAAATATGGAGAGTTCTACCCCGTACGTTCTCTATCTGTTGTTAATCTTGTTCCAGGGTGTCATCAACGGGTTGAAATCCTTAGAAGAACTTAATGTGACACTATTAGATTCTTCCCACTCGAAAGCCCTTGTGGAATTCACTCTCCCTCCTTCCTCGTTGCGTCTCCCTCCAAAGGATCCAGGAACAGTTCTAGAACCAGTCCAAGGACTAGAGGTTGATGTGTTAATCAGCTCATCTCCTGGCGAGCCACCTGTAGACCATGAGTTATCAAGTGATCCGATTGCTTCTAAACTTTCTGCCTGGTGGCCTGCTGTTGTAAGGAAAATTGGTGGGAGTTTTGTTATTGTGGAGTTAATGGCTGACTTCTCTTCTGAGAATGCTGGTTCAAACGAAGTAACTGTCCTTCCCAACAAACGCATTAGTGTCCCTCACCCTTCATCACTTGAAAAAACAGATATTGTTGAAAAGCACCAATTGAGACCACGGATTCATCATCCCAATCTTAGTGTCTCGTCCTTTCACATCCATGCTATAGATATACCGGACGAGTTAGCTCCATAGTAAGTTTCGTTTCTGCTTCTTGCTTTGTCTCTGTATAGCTATGGTTAATACTCCCGGTTTTTCTCAGTTGCAGAGAGCCTGCCAATTACCATCATTTTGCGCGACGATGTGGTTTGCCTGTCCTGATCACTTTGGCGCCCGACACATTTAAACCCGTATCCCCAGTTATTAAGGGGGACAGTGAGACGTACAACCTAAAGTCCCGTTTGCTTGTAATTTCTACAGATATCTCCACAATCAACAGGGCATCTGTCATCGACAACACGTTCGTTGACATGCTGCGACAAAAAGTCTCCATTTTGCAACAAACTGAAGAACTATCCAAAAAGTTGGTGGCGTCGCGCCTTAATCAGGTACGTTCATTACTTTCTTATGGTTTCTTAGCAATCACCATTCGTTGAAGAATTCCTCATACCTCTGGATTTAATCCATTATGCAATTGGCGCTCAAGGGTCAAATATTAGACGCGCTAGTGCTATTGAAGGTGTACTTTCTGTCAAGTTAGATCGCCAGACTGGTAATATCAGGATTTCTGGGAAGGTATGTACTTTCATTTTGTGTTTCGAATTTGATAGATTCGTTTAATGCGGTAAAATTAGCACTTACCAATAGCCTTAACTTGAAGGTTCAGTTGGGTACAAGTGTAGGGCTGCTAACATTAGTTAAATCTATTGGTAATAGCAGCCCAGTTTGTCGACTAGTTATACACTTTCAGTTGTATAAAAGCCTGGTCATATCACAAACCGGACACTTGATCTCATTTTGCAGTTTATTTTTATCCACTCCCAGCTTTTGAAGCAAACAGTAAATGTTAATTCCTAGGCCTAGTGAGTTCATTCATGCTTTACATTTAACCTATCCTGATAAAAGGTAACAATTTCATGAGCTTTCAAGTACTTATGTACTCATCAGTGTGCTTTATATAATGGATTTCTGGAATCGTGCCCGAACTGGTAGTTAGCCACATACTTGTTTTGATTAGTTCCCGTTATTTGTAATGATGAGGTTTAACTAACGAAATCATTGAGTCTTAATGTAGGTCACAAATAGATTTCTGCCGGAAAAAGTTGTAAACCAATATTGGAATTTAGGGAAGATCTAGTCAGAAATTGCCAGAGCCGTGACACTTAGTGTCGTGCCAGTTGTGGAAAAAGTAATACAAACGTGAATCGGCTCAAATCGCTTCACTACGTCAACATAATGAAAGGAAACTAACAGTGTCAACCCAGTATAAGGTCGTATACCATACTGTGACTGCTTGGACCGAAGCGAATGGGTCATTGCTCATTAATAAGTCTAAAATTCTAATCCATAAGATTAACTTATTTATTTGAACACATAAATATTGATATAAAGGGGCACCGAATATAAATGCGCCACGTAATTCATCTGATTTGTGTGTGGACTGTGATACTGCCCGAGTTCCCAAACCGAAACAGGTGGTTTTCTTAGGGGATCACACACGGAGCCTTCGATTTAATGTTCTGACCCACAAGGCAGTGGAGCGACGTCAGGAGATGCAGTCCCATGGTAGCCGGTGACCAACAATTGATTCACACACCATTTGTTTCTTCAGGATCATGGAGCCCATGTGCACCACTGGTTTGGAGTTGAGGTTTTCTAACTCCCCTAGGTGGACCCTCCATATCCACCAACCTGTTTAAAGCACTGGACACCCGCTTTTCGTCCTCTCAAGCTCATAAACAACGCCCTCGCCACGAAAAGACAGAGGGTAGGATTTCCCTGGTAGTGATTGTATACGCGTGGTCATGTGAGGGTAATTCGAGAGTGATAGCGGACTCCCCCCGCCCTCGGCCATAACAAGACCTAAGATTAACTAATTTAAAAAAAAATTAACTGTCACTCGATAAAAACGCAATGTATGACCTTTTGTGTTCATGATATGCATCACTGAAAAGACAGCAGAACCATCTTTTATACTAGCTGAGCATATATATATATATATATATATATATATATATATATATATATATATATATATATATATATACAATATTAGTGAGGCATATCATGAACACGGAAGGCCTTACATGCCTGTATTTTCGTCGAGCTACAGTAAAATTTAATCTTATGAATCAGAATTTTAGACGTGATTTGTTACTAGTGAGTGATGATCCATTTGCTTCCGTTCAAACAGTCATAAATTTCACTCAGTATAGTATACGATGTTATACTGGGTTACTAAAACGCACTGCTTATCGAGTTTGAGCTTGATTTTCTTAATAATTCAGTTAGGATTGTCGATTCCACTTGTTTCCGTCTTTTTCATTGAGTAGGTTGGGAAGTTTAGACAGAAGTCAAACTTAATTCCCTGTTTTATTGTTTTTAATTAAGAAAGTTATATGCGAGCTTTAATATTTTAAATAGCGTTTACCATCAGTTTAGGGAAGCCATTTGAAAGACATAGGGTTAAAAAGTCCTGTCGGTCTGGAAATTCCGGATTATGGAATTATGGAATCCTAATTTGATAACTCAAATTAGATGAATAGAACACAAAGATGGACTAGTTAGTATTTTTTTACTGGTTTTTACTTCAATCTGATGTTCACTTACACTGAAGAATAGAAATATAGCTCGAGAGAAAAGCACTATTTTGATAACTGTAGTGGTTGAATATTTAGTTGGTAGAGATAATCATCCCTGTGTTTGGCTATCTCTAACCACCTAGTGACATAAACCATATCTTTTGTCTCAGCAACAAACAATTGTCTAGTTAGAAGTTGATGTGACAGCTTAAAGGTTTGCCACTGGACCATCAAGCTAGGTACGTTTAATCAAAGTAATTAACATCAACTTAATGGTTTATGTTGCTAATGTCTAAACGGAGTTTAATTGAGGAGCTAAGTAACCGGATTCTTAAAGACAGCTATTTTGATGACTGCACAGAAGATTGTTGATGCATAGGGTAATGACTCAGTGCTAATATACTGGAAATTACCATCAAACTACAGACAAAACCCTTTCCACCTACTTTGATTTCGCTAACTAGATAATATCATTAACACCAAAACGTTTGGCTCAAAGCCAAGTAAGTCTACATGTGCTTATCGGATTACATTATTAACATTACTGAGTATATTATTTAAGGACTAATATAGTCTCTCTCTCTCTCTCTCTCTCTCTATATATATATATATATATATATATATATATATATATATATATATATATATATATATATATAGTAATTATTAAATGTAACTATTTTTATTACAAGCTAGTTTTTAATTAGTGTACAGTTTGTTTTTGTGGACATATAAGTTGGATTTTAATGATTTATTCATAGTATATCAAGCGTTAGTTGTCCTCCCATTTAGTATCTTCATGGTTTTGTTAAACAAACAAAATCCTAATAAAATACGGTACCTATTCATTCCAGACTCAAGATGCTGTTAAAAACGCGAAGAAGTTATTGGACTTCTCTCAAGATATCTTTCAGATACCTAAATCATATGTAGGTCCTATCTTGGGATCAGGTCGTCGACACGTTCAACATATCGTGGATCGAGTGGGACTTGTTGGAATCAAGATTTCTAAATCACCTGAAGACGATCGTGAGCACGTTTCATTCCAGTTAACGGGAACTCAGCAAGCCATACGTGATACACAGTTATTTTTGGAGTTTCAAGTCGCAAGCTTACAGGAGTTAGATCGGCTTCGTGGTGTTGAGAATCCGCCGTCTATATTAAAACCCAAGGATGCGACCATCCCACTTAAAGATATTTCGAGGTAATTGTTATTTTCACCAAATGTAAAATTTCAATAGGTTCTCGTTAGATTTTGAATAAAATACTGAGCTTTTCATCTAGTGTGTATGTCTACCTATTTCAATCTTTGTGGTCTTCGACTCAACATAGTCTATGGAAACCGTATAATCCTGACTGTTAATATTCAAGGGTTTTGGTTGTTGCACTACCTGTTTCGAACCAGCATTTTTCAGTTTACTTTGATATTAAACATGATATTCTACTGGTGCCGTTATCGGTATTTTTAGTAATTTTTTTTATTTGTTTACTATTATTTCTACTTACTGAACATTGACTTATTACAAGTATCCAATCACAAACTTTTTCTTGAGCTACTGAATAGGGTGACAGAAAAGGCTGCGTTTCTCTCTTAAAACTATAATGAACAGCGGGGTTGCCCTTAAATACCCTGGTATGGTCAAGAGTGAGGAGAGTTCACTGTCGCTCTCTAAGTCCTCTCATGCGGCCACACTGATATAGCCATTGCCAAGGAAGTCCTACTTGCTGCCTTCTGATGATTGGTGTTTATGAAATTGAAAGGACGAAAAGCAAATGTCCGGCTCTTAAACCGGGTTGGTGGGCATAGAGGATCTATCTAGGGGAGTTAAAAAACTCTGATCCCAAACTAATGGTGTTCATGTGCTCCAGAATCCTGATGGAACAAATGACGTATGAACCTATTCTTGGCCACAGATTGTCATGGGACCTCATCTCTTGACGTCGCTACACTACCTCATGGATTATTGTCGGTCATCCATTTACAAACAACTTGATGATCTGATACAAACGTTCACTAGCCTAACATGTCACACAATGATAGAATGATAGGACACTGCCATATTAAGACCGACTGTCACCGCCGGTGCTCACACGATAAGTTTTCGATCTTTTACAGTCGGTCTCTTGGAATTTTATCTTAGATTGTTGATGATCTGTTTAGTCACAGACAAAATATCGTTATTGGATATGACTTTCAAATTAGCATTCTTTCTAATCATAGATGAAAATAAAGACGGTAGATACTTTGGATTAGGTGTACTATATTAGGCAATCCTAAGATCAGAAATATTACGCTAGGATTTTACTAATCTTTATGGTGTGAAACACTTCAAGTCAAAAAAACATTTGATGTCTAGTAATAAACTTTTTCGATGCAGACAAACAGTAGGGAACAAATTTGAATTTAGGATAAATATGCATGGGATCGGATTTTTATAGATCATGTAAACATAGAAGTCAGTGAGTAAGAAATAATAATCCTTACATAAATGCCAAATAAAAACTAGGTGCTCATGAACTTCGAAGTGAAAGACACTCCATATCACCGTGTTCTTGATGGAAGCACCATATTACATAAAGTTGACTAATATTACTATATTTCAGGCCGTTATCAGAAAGAAAACCCACTCATCTAATCTACTGTCAAATGACTTTAATAAACTTGTTCAATTTTCTTTGCCTAGAAAAAGTGAATGAAATTTTTTTGGAGTGTCCTACATAGGATGCAGTCGTGTTAATCCCTGTTTAGCGATGTTTTTATCCCATTTCGAATAAAGAAAACGTACTTTCTTTGTGATTAATTGTAGCAATGATGAGTCTTCAAATCCTCTCACACATTCTGAAAATGGTCATCGTATATCAAACGGTGACAATCAAAGTTCAAAATGCAGTGAATCTAACTATGCTGTACATTCAAATAGTTGCTCAAATAAGGAGGATCCGGAGAAACAAGAAACTACTTATAACAACATTACAAATTCACGTCCACATCCTGGTGGACGTCAGCCCAAGCCGAAACCTCAAGTCAATCACATAAGACCAGGTATGTTTAAAAGACTGTCATAAGAATCGTTTTATTGGATTATTGATCGATAATCTACTAAACTTTTCTTCACTTGGGTTGTTCGATGAACTTATATAAAGTGTTTTCTAGTGTTGCCACATTATGTTCATTTTAAAAAATATTACATCTGGTTTTAGTTACAGACTACGCTTACTGCAGCCACGCTTTCCACTGATAAACGGAATGAACAATGGCCTAACATATTTAACGTCATAAACCAATCACCTTTGTCTACACGATGTTATTTTAATTGTCTCTATGGATAAGTTCTTCAATGTAGAGAAATGTAGCAGTATACTATCATTAAATCAACTAGTGAGAATTCTTACCAGAATGTAAGCTTTTTCATCATTAAAGAAATATGGAATGACTCAGCCACATTATAACATTGCCAACGCATTAACTATGACAAGCTGTATCTCGAACAGTTAGTTATCTTAAAAGGATCGACACAGAAACGATCTTTACAGTTACTATCAGCAATCGCATACCCATAAGTAGTTTTGCTTTACAACCATGATCAGAAACAGATTAGAATCAAAATTCACGGAATTAAGAGGAAGAAAAGCGAATGTCCGGTGCTTTAAACGGGTTGGTGGATATGGAGGGTCCACCTAGGGGAGTTAGAAAACATCAACCCCAAACCAATGGTGCACATGGGCTCCATGATCCTGAAGAAACAAATGGTGTGTGAATCAATTGTTGGTCACCGGCTACCATGGGACTGCATCTCCTGACGTCGCTCCATTGCCTTGTGGGTCAGAACATTAAATCGAAGGCTCCGTGTGTGATCCCCTAAGAAAAACACCTATTTCGGTTTGGGCACCCGGGCAGTATCACAGTCCACACACAAATCAGATGAATTACGTGGCGCATTTATATTCGGTGCCCCTTTATATCAATATTTATGTGTTCAAATGAATAAGTATTAATAATAATATTGTGATTGACATGTCCACGGAATCATTGTTAATTACTTAAGTCTATGCTTTTAGATACCAAGGAAGTTAAGGGTGACATCTCTGTGTTGTAATTTGTTAAAAATCAAACGAAAAGCTTATCTCGTGGAGGTTTTGTTATATCTTGGAAAGAGTAGTTCAGTGTTTTGGTTAGTTTTGTTAGAAGTATGATGGTTGTCTGCGTACCACATAGTTCATGCGGTACCAAAAACCTATCACTTGTTTACATTCCATTGATATATTAAGTAGACGGCAATAACAGTCTATGAAATCATAAACTAGTTTTGAATCCCATGATGTTCTTTCCGAAGTCATTAAAACAACTACAGTATGAATTATAAGCGGAGATGAATGACGATAATACCAATACAAAAATGAATAACAACATGAATTGCTTAGTTTTTCGGTACCGTCGTGTTATAATTTTCGTCTCGTTAATTTCCTGTTGTGCTGATGTAAGATGTAGCAGTGTAAACGGACGTACATATGCTGTTAGTGACTAACTGATCAGTTACATGAATTACATAAGATGGATTCATCGATATGACAACTGTTTCCTTGTCTACACGAATGGGGCGTTATTTTGTCTTAGACGAATATTATTTACACTACATTCCCTCCCAGTGTCTGTTCTACGGGAATTCAACACAACTCAGATCAAGAACACGTGATTAGCCCGACTAGAATGTAAATGTATTTCCACACCAAAAAAACCCGACAAGAAGCCGACACAATCTAACAAAAATCCGAGTAATAATAAGGTTAAAGGAAAATACAACTCATCTAGTACCTGTCAGACTACTAGTCTCACTAAGCAAACAACTTATCATTGTCAATCTCGCCCACACATTAACAACAATTTCGGAAAACCACACTTCTGGTGGTTAAAGAAACAATTAGTAGGGTAAATATCTTAGATCAGCGTCTCTCATCATTGCATTTCACTGTCTTTCTGAGCTCTCGAAAAACGCCCTGGTTCAAACTAACACAGTTCAAGTCTATATTATTTAAAGTAGGACGATTTTATTGATATTACGAACCTATTTAAGTTAGGCAGTCAGTGTAAACATGAGAGCACTGGATGGCCGTTTTGTTCTAGTACGGGACCCCTCAGCAGTGCACACAGACGACCCCGCGACTGGTAATCAAACCCTGGACATCCAGTCTCACGCTCAAACACTTAATCTCTAGACCACTGAGCCGGGAGCCAATAGTGTGCAAATTTAACTTCAAGGCTAAAATGATTGATTAATAATCGGATTGTGGTTTATTATTTTTTTCATATTCATAACAATCAATATTTCGCTTTCAACTTTAGATTTTCGTCAAATTCCTCGCATTCAACGAGGCGGTGGTGAAAGTATTCGCAATAGTGGGAGTAATCATACAGGTGTTTCTAAGTCTTCGGCCAACCATGTTAACTCCAAAAACCCTAATCAGCAAAGAAATCAACCGAATCATCGTTCGGATTCCATGGGACCTAGAGGACAAAATATGTGTGCCCCAATTGTTAGCTGAATAAATTTTCCAGTTGGAGTTCAATGAACATTTTCAGTAGACCACTCAGTTTTAAGTGCTTACCCTTACCTCCGCTTTGACTATCCAAATATCCCATTTTATTGTACCTTTATTCAATTCGGCTGTCATTTCCTCTATACACACTCACACTGTGTAAATCAGATTGGATAACTGGAAACTTGTTTAAGGGTGATTTTTAAATAATCTTTCTTATTTTTAGTGCATATTACTAAATATTCTTTGCTTTTTTCTTCCTGGTGATATTCACGTATTGTTTCAACCAGTTGTAATCTTGAACCATGTTCTGTATATTGTTTCTGTTAGTTTCTGGATTCACCAACTAATAAAAACAAAGTATTATCATACTTGGTAATTATCCATTTTTAGTAAACATTTTTGCTTTCACCCGTATCTGAACTTATGGCATTACCTCAACCTAATACCTCAGATTTATGTACAAATCATGAACTATATGAAGGGTTATCCTACTATACTTGATTTGTATTATAGTTTTTATTTAGTGCGTTTATTATTCATTTCATGTTGACTTGTTTATCGTAAAAAGTAGACCACAATAAGAATTAATATAGTGTGAGTTGTCAATATTCTGTCGCTTAGGATTTATCACCATATAATTTGAATCACTTTACTGTAGTACACGGCACTCAGTACAATGTTTTATAGCAATCAGTTTTAAAGCAAATGGTTCGTTTAATAAATGCACTGAATCTATTCAGTCTAGCTTGATATTCTGATTATCGATAGTCTTATCGTTATTACCATTATGTCATTCATGTATTTTAAGGGGAATTTCGTTAAATCCGTTAATTAGGTATTCGTCGTTGTTGGTGAACATCATTTGAAAAGAAACGGCTGCTAAAATACTAATTAACTAGTAGTTTATTAGAGATTTATTAATGTGACTGGTGCAGTTTTTACGATCCTAACTTCCATAATTAAGTTCCAACTTAGGTTCAGAAACATCAAATCAGAGGAAATGAGACATTTGTTTCGTCAACCAGATTTTGTTAGGTTACAAACATGGACATATGTACCACTTTGACCGTGAAAGTGGAACTTGATTTCATTCATTGGAGGGTTTTGTATGATTATTTCACTGGGATTGCTAATATGTGCTGCTACAGGCACCATTAATGCACTCATTTTTGTAAACTTGTTTCAGACAACTATTAGTTCTGTCGTCCATTGGTATTTACTTTACTATCGATATGCTTCTATTGGCAAAATGCTGTTTGACTTGTTCTGTAATCTGCCACTTTTAATGATTTCGCATAGTAATTAACGCGGTATGAGGTTCTGAGCAAAGGAAATCAGGATTTTCTGTGTGTAAACTAATTTGCGGTTTTGTGTCATATCTGAAAGGTCGGTTTCTGCTTTAAACTCTGTGTTTGAGAATCTGTGGTACAACGTGACTCCAGTTTATATGTAATGTGTCGATCGAATGTCTAATGTTGTCGCAGCATAATTTCGTTTCCAGGTCGTATTATTATATTGTAGTAACATTCTTTGGCCAAAGGAAAAGCCTTTGTTTGACCGTTATATTAGTAATTCTATGCAGTCTTGTTAGAATAAATAACTGTAGAATGCAATTTATCTGGTGAAAATTCCCATTTAGACGACGAATAGAGCGAGAAATTTTCCATTCGTTTTTCGTCATGTATATTAATATCATGCTAGTAGCGATTTAACACAATGATTATATAACAGTGTTTATAAAATGACATTAAATAATTAAGTAGTTGAGAGAAATGGTTATGGTAATCAAAGTAATTATTCGAAAAATTCGACTAAGGTTGCGACATTACTTAGTACGTGAGGAAAGCTCAGTATTGTAGTAATATTAAGAATCAAGAAACTGCTATTGAAAGTATCTCCTATGGAGTGGTATTAAAATGTTGGGTGACTGACTGTTTCTTTAAGCGACCCATTGTACAAATCTGGAAGTCCATCATCTTGGTTTAACAAAGGACAGGTGGGAGTGACTAAGAGTTCAACTCTCACATGGTAAACAAAAAAGCTCGTGTTGATTTGAATAAAGCTTTAAAAGTTTCCAACATATCCCATCAAATTTACCACCTTGTTTGCAAGTTTGTCTTGTACATATTACTGAATCTATCGGAATCCATATTCACAAACCTAGCTTTTGCATTCAAAAGAAATTTGTACAACCATTATCGCTATCTTGGTCGTCCGTATAAGAGCGAGCTTTAGTGAAATTTTAATTAAACCAATTTTCTAATTTATTTCACTTTTGTATTTCTGCATATTTTCAACGTATGATGAATTCACTGTAGATACTTTCATTGTTTATTATTTTCTCGATCTTGACTTCCAGTATTCCCTCATATATTTAATTCTCTTGCATAGTAATATTTTTAGATTTTGATAAAAGAATTGTCAGTAAAGAAATCTTATTAATAAATAAATGAATATACGATATTTACATTGTACTTTAATAAGTTGTCATATTCTCGTAAAAGCGCCTGCTACTTGGCATTAAGTTTAGTAACACTAATCTGTTTAACCTTATGGAGCGTAGGTTTCTAATCAGCAATCTCCAAACTGTCATGCGATCCCTTTTTCAGTTTCTCCAGTCGCTACTCCTTTTGATTTCTTCCTCCAGTTCCCTGCTCAATGTGTCCCCTCGTCGTCCTCTTTTACCTTCAGCATTACCGTAATGTGCTTCCCATCCACCTGTAATATCATTCTTTGGATCAAATAAGTGTAGTTTCTTACAAATATATCACTTACTAGTCTACCTAAATACAACTCATACGTAATGTGACTTATTAACTCATACTATGACTTACAATAACTTTACACTTTCTAAATATAATCGAATAGTTGTAAATGCCGGTGACCTACATCTAATTTTTGTATATGGACACATTTGCTTCACAAAACACTGACAATATGGTATCTAACTAATTTGTTAAATCATATCAGGAAATTTCATCTAAATTATAAACTCCACGTCATGTCATACATTGAATTAACTGTATCCAAGGTGTCCACTGTATTCCTTTCTCCCCTGAGATGTAGAGGTCTATATAATTCAGTTAGTCACCAGAAGAAAGAGAAAGGGCGAGAATAAGCAACGCTGTCTGAAACCGGTCTTCACTTGGAATGCATCTGAGGTGCCCTTCATGGAGGACATCACAATACAGCTCAACGTATGTATTCCGTAGAATTTTGACGCTATTAATTGCACCATAGTGCCGAAGGAGGATCAGTAGGGTCGTTCTACCCACATTTGTTGGTTGCTTTCTCATTGTCAAAGAAGCTGATGTATAATGAAGAGTTCCATTCAATTGATTGCTGAACAATAGTCCAAATCGCTGCAGTTACCTCTCTACCTGGCTTTAGTACTTCAGCTGGTGATGCTGCTTCCCTAATTTTGATTTATCTGATGGCCATGCTGATTTCGCCAATCCTCGGTGGAGCGACATCTATAGGAGGGTCTATGTATGCTCCTTCGACGTCTGGTGGGTTCATTGCGACCGGTTCATTCAAGAGTTCTTCAAATTGCTCCACCTACCTCTTCCACAGTTCCTGAATTTCAGTGTTTGACCTGCCTTCTTTTTTTCAAATAATCACTCTGGTTTACTATGTTTCTCTGCTAATTTCTTCGCTGTATCATGCTTTTGTTTCATATTTTCTCCTCTTGTAGCTTCTTCCGCTGTCATTGCTAGGTCTTCGGCGTATTTCTGCTTGTCAGCTCTAATGCCCCTCCTCATTTTCTAATTTCCTTTTGTGTATTCGGCCTGTGCCTTGACTGCTGTTGATTACTGTTTCCTTGTTCTTCCCTTCATTAATCTTGGTCAATAGAAATCCTCCCTTTATGCTGGTGCTTGTTGTGACCAAGGATCTCCTGACATGTTGAAGTTATTGCTTCTTTTGTACATTTCCAGTTCTCGTTCATAGTGGTTTTCTCTTCTTGGAGTAGATCGGAAAATGCTTGGAACTTGTTGCTGAGAGCTATATTGAATTTCTTGAATTAGTCAGTATCTCGAAGGAATACTGTATTAAACTTTTGTAACGTTAATTCTATTGTTGTCCAGTGCTTCCTTAGCTTTAGTTTCTCCTTGGTCTCCACCAAGTGGTAATCTGAAGCTAAACCACCTCCTCTCTTCGTTCTTACGTCTTCCATGGACCTTTCGAATTCTTCATTGATGCAAATGTGATCGATTTGGTTGTCTGTAGTGTGGTTTTATGTATACGTTTTTTGAAGGTATACAAATTTACGATCTTCATTCTCGTTCTTTTCTTCCAGTCCATGTCGTCTCATGATGTCGTTATACCCAGTATCGTCATGATTCTAATTTACTTGTTTTGATTAACTGATAAATTTACTCAATTATTTTCATTAGTCTATACGATTAGTATTACCTTACTCTAAATAACAAATGACATGTTATTCTTATTTACTTTTGTTATATTTTATAAAAGTTCACTTGAAAAGGAATATTTCAACATAATTATTTAATGAAAACAATGTAACAGTCTTTTTGTTTTATAAATAATTCTTTGAATTCCATATTGTTAATTATCAAGAATATACATATATATTAGATCAAAACATTAATCTAAAAATGAAATAGATAAGTAACAATACTCTACTGAAAAGATGCTTGTAGTGTGGTGTCGAGTCGCGGTTGACTATGATCACAACTACAGGAAGACTACGTGCTAGTTAACCGATAAGATCCCCCGTAAGCCAAATATCAGTAGGCAGTTGATGGCTGTAGTCGAGATGTATTCGTTGGCGATCTCGTGGTATCGAAAGAATACTGAGATCGTGCCAAAGGAGTACAAGTGTGGTTACTAAGCGTAACCGAATTCGTGCAAGTTCACAATCAAAGGAAGGAAGAATGTCTTTAGTACAATCAAACAAACAAGTATAGTAAAACAATCACCGGTATAATTGGTTATAATAATAATAATTGTTTCCATTAAACCAATTGCGTTCTCTTGATAAAAGTAGGTCACTACATGCTCAAACTTTCAATCAGGCATTGGCAATCCACGAACTCAAGCCTGAACTTTGCATACAGAAATGATTAGCCCAACCTCTCATCCTTCCTTGACCCTAATTCCCTTTATCGGTATGTTTCGAGTTTTTTTCCTTTCTTCTTCACTTTTATTTGATTATTGTTGATTTTTTAAAATTATTGTTTCGCAATTTTAAACTCTAATTAGTTATTATTATTATTTTATACGTTTTTTTAACAGTTCATATCATAAGTTAATTGAAGTTAGACTACCATGGAAAACCTTGAAGTACTGGACGGCCGCTTCGTCCTAGTATGGGACTCCTCAGCAGTCCACATCCACGATCCCGCCTCGTAAGATTCGAATCCAGGAGTCCCACAATAGGACGAAACGGTCGTCCAATGCTTCCAGGTTTTCCATGGTGGTCTAGCTTCAATTGACCCATGATCTCAACTATTAAAATTACAATAATATCCACAAAACCTCTTATACAAGTTTGCTTGATTATTATTCAGTTTATGTTATTATGACCTATATGTTTGTCGTTTTTCTTCATATCTGTCAATTGAACAATTATCTGACCTGTAAATTATTTTCATCCCTATATTCCTTCCTTACCACTTGATTATTACATAACCTCATCTGATATTGAGTCTTGAATCAATTTATGATGTATTCTTTTCTATCCTTCTATAGACATATATTTACCATATAACTATAAACACGAATGTACAGCTTGAGTAAAT